AGATGCTGACTTTGCTTTGCCTTGGAGATGGAGATGCTTCTTGCTGAACTCTCCCTTACCTTACTTCTCCCCCATTGTCCGTATACCGTATCCCAAGCTTTTCGCTGTGGGAACCACTGGCACTTTGCCAGCGGGGGTTCCCGCAGCGAAAAGCTGGCAATTTGCCACGGCCGTGCCGGAGCAAATCTTGCGGCCCCGCAAAGTTCCGTTCTCGTTTGGACGAGATGTCGCGAGGTTTTTTTTGGATTGTTTCACTGCTTACCTCTCCTAACGATAGGCCTTCACCTTGTTCCTTCTTTTGCGTTTTCATACCTTAAGACTTCTCGGTTTATAACTTCATTCGTTTATTAGTGAGTATTCAACTAGTTATAGACAAATGCCGGACAGATCGGAAGCAGACGACTTCTTTGGCATCGAATATATGATGTCGCAAACTCCAAAAGTTGGGAATAAGGAAGTAAGTCCCACAGCTACAGTGTAGAACTAGCTTCTGTCTTTTTCTTTCTTACTTTGATAAGTCAAATCATTTCAAAGCAACTTCATCAGGAGCAAGTTGAGACAATAAAAGATGACTCGAAACCGAAGAAATCTTTTCGTATCAGGAGCGATGTGAGTGATATGGGAAAGGACGTTAGTCAACTTTCGGGGACGGAATTTTTGGATCGAGCATTTTTCCCGCAGCTTGAACTTGTCAGTAACTTTTCTGTAGTGTTTTGAGGTTCATACTTCCATTAACATATTCAGGACCCTGAAGCATCAGAGAAGAATCACAATGAACAGTCGAAAAACTTTATCGAAGAACAGTTCTTCAGAAGAATTGACTCCGCTGAGTATGCTTGTTATCATCGCCTTTATTATATTGCTATTCTGTTCTCGAGCGTAACTTTATTAATGAATTATTTCAATAAGTAGCTGCCTTTCGAATAAACTTCGTTTAAGCTGATTACGATAGTTTTAGTGTCGCTGAAGTTAGCACGACGTCTGAATCAGAACAGTCGATTGAACTCGACCATCACGTAGAAAAGCCCCGTCCAAAACACGCTAAGTTCTCACAGAGACGGCGAGTGAGCCCTACCCCTCAAGAAGGCGATCCGAGGAGGGTAGAAGTTGAACAAGACTCGGTTAGTATGTTTATAATCGATTGAATAAATGTTATTCCTTTGAGTAACAAATCGAAAAGCCCAAATGTTTTGTGAGTAACTTCTCAGAAGTCATTCTCAGTAATGTTCATCAGCGAAAATCGAACACCGGAATCCGTACGTTTGTGTTTAGCTTCATCATTGACGGTGCCTGTTTTCAGTTTGAAAGAAGTTCTGATGAGTCACCTGGAGAATCCGGTTTAAACAAAATACGTGCCGACATCATCCCAGTGTGGCGAATGAATGAAAATGAATTGGTGGAACTGATGATAGACAGAGTTCTATACAAAGACGGTAACTCAACATTTATTCCAATAAGTTTGTAACAAGTGTTGTTCTTGCATTTAGATGATATTGTTGCGCTCGATAAACCATACGGCATGGCCTATTCCGGAGCTTCTCAAAATGCTCCTCAATTGGATAGATTGTTGCAGAAGATTAAGGTAATTATGAGCAGTTGCATTTTTTCCTTTAGAATCCTTACGATATCAATTTTCAGGCTGAAATTGTACCAAAATGCGAGCGCTTGTATTTAGTGAGATCGTTGGACAAGTTTCAGTCCGGCATTGTTCTGTTTGCCACGTGAGTATCCGCAGTTGAATATTTGAAAAAGATCGCATTTTCCGAAACACTGTTCCTAAACAAACTGTGTAAATTAGTACTTTTCTTCCAAAGCGACCTTCGCAGTGTGGGTGATAGAATGTGTAGTGCGGAGGCACCGCATATAGGAATGTGGGTGTCCTCAGTTTTCCTATACAAGAGTGATTCTGATTTCTGAAAAGTGGTCAGTACACAGCTTTAAAAAGCTCACATATTTTTTTCAATCAATCTTCAATACAACTTCTTGTTCGTTGTCTTGCGTAAATAACTATATGCCCTACCTCGTAACATATTCCCGACACACGCCTTACCTTGTGTTCTTGCTGAATTATGCTGTACGCAAGGCTTGGAGCCGCTCTTCTGAGGCTCTGCTATCTATGTCGTGATGATTTGAAGAGAACCGGCTACGAGATCTCTATAATGGTATCACCATCTCTCTGTGTCTTCAAACCACTCAACCAGTTCATATAATGTCACCCTTGCTCGAAACATGTGCTTCTCTAGCTTCATCTCAAATAAACCTTCGTTCCATTCCAGTAACGCTTCTATGCAGTCAGCTATGAAAAAGAATTTTGAAGGAGGTATGGTGGAACAAATAAGCAGGTAAAGCGGAAAAGGTTGAATTCAGTATTTAACGTTTTACGGTAACGTTTCATCTCAAATTCTGATTGCAGATGTATTGTTCGTGGTGAATTAGAAGACTCTCCCCTCAAGATCACTATTCCTCTAATAAAAACAGTGAAGAATAGGGATATGAAGGTTAGTGATCAACCTTTTACTATTTCTTGCATTTTTCTCTATGTGAAAGTGCAATGGGATTTCTTTGAAATACCTTGAGATTATAAGACTTTTTTCTCTGATGTTTTTTGTTCCGTATTTGCCTATACAAATTACGCTTTTCCTTTTTCAAGCCAATTCTATCCACTCCCAATCCCTCCCTCTAATTGTTACGTTAATACTTCTCTGAATTTTCTCGAATTTCTCACTCATTCCTCTAACTTCTCCCCTCTTCTTTAGAATGTGTTCTGTTGAATAAAAAATTTTCTTCGTGATCATTCCCTTTCCTTTCCCTCTCTCTTTGCATGATTTTTTCGAGACATACATTACTAGTAGTCTTTCTTATCATAATTTTACTATGAGAACTTGTGGTTGAATTCATTGAGATCCTCATGTTTGTCGTATATGTCATTAACTGCTGATACCACCTTCTCCACTTTAGACCACTTGACATTACTTGTTTCCGTATTTTTTCATGTTCAGCTTGTACCTTTGGTGACGAACAAGGCGAAAGGTGAGATCTTCTACGTGCACTCTGAATGCCGCACTATTAAGGGAAATCAGTACGTTTCAAGTGTGGAGGTTCGAACCCACAGAGGTAATACTTTTTTTGTGGAAAACAGTCTCGTCATTTGAACAAATATGTGTTTACGTAAGGATGAAACTTGTGTGTGTTTCAGAGATTCCACATCAGATCCGTGCTCACCTTGCGTTGGCTGGGTGTCCTTTGATTGGTGACTCAAAGTACAGCAACTCTTCGCCGCGGCCTCCACGGTATGCGTAATGAAATTGAAGTTAAGGAAGCTGTTAGGATAGGTGTTTCTTCCAGCTTATCACATCATGTTCTTGGCTCGCTCAATGTCACCGATTCACAGTCTCGCAAGATTCCAATGTATCTTCATCTGAGAGAGGTACGTAATTTCAATACAGGATTTGGATTGATCTTCTTTTTTTTTTATTTGGTTGATTGCCTTGGGCAGTTGTGATGCTATCTGACATGCAGGCTCCACGTACAACGAAAGGTTCAACCTTTCAGCTTGCGGCTGGCAAACTACTGCAGTAAATTTTAGACAAGCCCTGCCTATCCCGGTCATCCACTCTTTGACTTTTCTCCGTAGTCACTATTTTTTCAACTCATCAGGAATGCTGTGTTTCTGCTTCCTTAGTAAGGCATAGTTTTACGCATTCATGACAAATATGATAGAAAAGGAAAGTGAGCCTCCTTCAAACAAAGAGGAGGCGTAAGTGGAGGCCTTGGTGTTCAATGACATCATACGCTGTAGTGTGTATTGTCTTGTAAATATCATTCATGTGTTTGGGACGATGTTTATTTAAGGTAAATCTGCCAGGCGCATCTCAAACAAGCGCTCCAATTCGGATATCTGCACCCATGCCTTTGTATTTCAAATGGATGCTGAGAAAACTAAAGCTGGTAGTCAAGCGATAGTGGGTTAATTACTAAATTTTTTTTATAGGGTTATAAAAAAAGTATTGGCATGTACTTGTCCTTTCGTTATGTCTTGTATGTGTCTTATACATCCTTTCAAATCTCAATTCCTGTTTTCTATGATTACATACAATTGCCCTTTGTTGTTTTTCTTTCTAAAAGCTCATTATTCTGCTCACCCACCCAAGGGCTTTTGAAATTTGTCTTTTTCTCCCTTTCTCATTTCACTGTTTTCTTGTTCTCTTCTTCTTACCCATGGTTTGTTGCATTAGTTGCTGTCAAATCATCTCCATAGGTTTCAATAGCGCTCTTGGTTGATAGTGTAAGAGTGAAGTTTAGAGAAGACGGTGTAGATGCTTTATGGGCTTACGTTTGTTTCATTTGTTCCAGTGGAGAGTAGCCAATTCAAGTAAGCCATGCCTTGTAGCTACTTCTCAATTTGAGTATGCAGTTTAGTCATTTTTGTTTTGGCAGAATGTTGCAATCTCAAGTGATCTATTGTTTTCATCAAGCAGATAGTACGAAATGGATTGTTGTAAATATGGTTATTCAATAGTTACGAGTTGTTTAGAGCCGTCAGATATTTTGTTGAGTCACTGTTGTTGAACATTCATTGATGCCATAGTTATTTACTTTGATGATAAAGCTCTTCTTACTGCGAGTGACTTTGATATTCCTTTTTCAGTGCGAAAAGAGGTTCGTAGACCTTATAACTGCAGTGCAATAGAGTTTCAGACTTCCTGTTTTCCATTGATACTTATACTCTACTCATTGGTGTTTTTACAGAAGGATAAAATAATAGTCGAAAAACTTGTCAACGACTAGGACGAGATGTATATAGACATTCCTTCTTGTTCGTCGTGCTCAGGAACTGAAACTACACTCATAAAATGGAGGTGTCCGACAAGTACAGCTCGATCAATTTTACAATTAGCACATGGTGATAAGAAGAATTTTGATGATGAAGTCAGGAAACATTATGGGTTACCTACTGGTGAGGTAAGAAAATTCTCATTCATCAGTGCGGTGATATTATAATTTCCTTTGCCTATTTACATACTGTGAGTAAAACGTTAAGCAGCCCATACAGTTGTATGAGGCAGTGAGGCAGCTTAGTTAGCTCATGTTTTAAAAAGTAAGGTTACAATCCATATTAGGTATATTTTGATATACTGATTTGCCCTTTTTCTTTGTTTTCGAGGTCATTTTTCTTTCCTAAGTTGGTTGCTATTTATCACTATAATGCTTTTGGAAAGCGTAATCCTTACTGAAGTCGATCTTCTATGAGGTGAGATGCGATACAATCTTTTGTAGTGCTTCTCCTGGTAGCTTACGTTTCCTCACTGAGTCTAAAAGTGCAAGTACGACCAGGTTCACATGTCTCATGAATTCTATTATCTTCGACAAAACGCATTGCTGAAAGGAAGTTCACAGCATTGGAGGCAACAAGGTTGCAGCTGTGTGTCTCACTATTTATAAAGCGCTGCTGCAAAATGCTGATTACTTGAGGAATCCCTGAAGAGGTCGGATTGAATTTTCGATGGGTTAGATTGCTGACTGCTAATATGTTCTTGCAATCCATCGTAAACACAAGTGCAGTAACCTTCCGTTTCCTACCCGCTAACTTTTACAATTTTTTGCACAGTTAAGCACATACGATTAGGTACATGAATGGTTTTGGAGGCGAAGTAGCTTGATATTGATGCTTGGTTAGGATTTTCGCAGCTAGATAAGTGTGAATTCTTTGGGCTTTTTTCTCATCTTCATGGTGCTGGGGGGCGCACTACCACACAGGCCTGGTCACGGGTTCGAATCCGGGGTCGATATTAGCCTAGGCCATCGAAACTTTCCATCCCTCCGGAGCCGGTAATTGGTACCATACCCTCTCGTCGGGAAGAATGAAAGCGTTACTTGTACATGGGCTGGTCAAGTCATTGTATAGGTCACATGTGCATTAAATGCGCCTACGATTATGAATAGAAGTTGAGTGCAGGGGCGAATCCCCTAGGAGGTATTTATGAACGCCCAAAGACTTTATCCTTTATTTATCCTAAATGTGATGGATAAGCAAAGAGCTCAGAAAATTTCAGGACTTTATTATTCGAATTCGTATGCCTGAGGCACCTGATGAATATATTGACTATAAGTGGTGAGTTTTGATACCACAATAATGGAACTTGAAGGAGAAGTCAAAGTTATGGGATGGTTTACCTGCAAGTTCCTTCCCATGTAGTTAACCAACTTGTAGTTCAGGGAAAAACGTATGCTGTGTTTATTAATGAAGTATTTTGAATTGGAACATTTAATGTGGAGGATGTCAACACTTGGTGGTGCTTGTTCAGCGATGGCTGATTACGACCTTTCGTTTGTAAGTCCTATTGTCTAAGCGCTTTTACTTATACCGGACCGGCAAGGTCTGCTGCTGTTTCTAATGCTGCATGAAGGTACTAGCCGCCGATGATGCAGCATCGGGGGATTCTCCTCCCAAGTGTAAGAACAGTCTGCGACATTTCCAACTATTTCACTTCACAGACTTTTAACCCTTTTCGATGGCAGTGTTAGTTCATATTGTTTGAGGCAAAACGAGCTGGCTCGATCTCCGAGAAGCAGTTACGAATTGCAGCGGAACTTGATGATCAAACCTTGTTGGCCCGCTGTCATCTGTACATAGCTCTGAGCGAGGCACAACAGGCTAATTTTGATAATGCTAAAAGAATCGTAAGGTGATTTCGTTCTCCTTTTGTTATTCGATTAGTGACCCTTTATTTTTTTTATCGATTGGGTCGATATCAATGCAGTATATCCCCTACAGGACTGGTAACCGGGTGATAGTCATGGTGGATCTATTTGGTAGAAAGTTTTGCGCGAGTCGCTTTTGCAGTAGGTACTGACTTGTGAAGCGATTTATCAGTAATGCTATATTTAGCCTCAGCGTTGTACAGCGTTTCCGAGCTGACTAACGAAAAGTTTGCAACACTCATGCAATACTGAAAAGGTGGCCAGGTCGGACGGCCGGCCCAGTTTATTGAAAATCGTCACGCCCGCTGACCCGTTCTTGACGGGGCAGTCTAAGGGGCTATAGGTCATATCCGCACCTTGCAGCTGAGAACTGCTTCACATACGCATGTCTTATCAGTTTCACCTGTATCACCTGTCATACCTTTGATCAACGTTTTCCTCGGGTGGGAGCCAGTCTTATCAGTTTCTATTTCAGAGTAATATATGTGTGGTCAAGACGAACGAAGAATCTATTCGTTGAACACTGCTGCCGTGGTGTATTCGCAAAAATCAAAGCGATCGAGCGATTCGGAACTAAAGCTCTACGAGAGGGTTCTCATGCATTAGAGCCGATACAGGAATAAATATTTTGCTCGGTGAGCGAACATGTTTATGGTATTGTTCTGGTACATGGCGCGGTAAGCCGACAGTTGTGAGCTATCACTCAGGGCCAGTATAAAGCCTTCCATCTCGCTATGATAGTTTATTTTTGAGTTCTTTCATTAGGGAGAAGATTGTCATTGATTACACTTTCGTGTGCACTGGGTAAATTTTGATCTGGTCCATGCACTTCATTTTTTGAACAACTTGTAGTAAGAACCTTTTTGCGAGCAGAGGGTTATTGTTGATAGTCGTCGGTAAAGAGCCGCATTAGTTTCATGGCCATTACTATGAATGGAAATTTTGCATACTACTTTCTACAAATGTCTGTTGTTAGGGTGAGATGGGGAAATCTTTTATTTAAGGAGATAAAACTGTCCATTGCTCTCCGAGTTCGGGAGCAGCGTCTTTCGAGATACCTCGTTCGTCTACCTTAAGACACAAATTATTCTCACGTATTATCATTAGTGGTGGCCTTTTTCTTATGTTTGTGCGTAGCTACTGCATCCACTACTCCTGATTGATTCGTTCTAGTGGACTTTTTCAATGGATAACCTTAACTTTCTAGTGTTAACAACTGCGGGATGAGTAAGAAGATAAAATTGAGTATAGACTTCACAGTGTTGATCAGTAACGTTTTGGAATACTCTTCAAACCATTCCTCAGTTCAGAATCGTGTNCTATTTCAAGACAAGTTTGGCAGCAATAAAAGACGAGTAAGATAAATGATAAATACTTTATCAGAAATTGTAAATATTAATTTCATCTCAAAAATATGCATAACCAAATCAACAAGGGACAACACCAAAATGGAATGTTTCGATCAATACTATGGCTTCGAATAAGCAGTAAATTCGTAGCTGAGCTTCAAACACAAAATAAAAGCTCTATTTAAATAATTAACAATAAGCTACTCACACAAAAAAGCAACGTAATATTACAGTGAATCGTTGGCTAGCTCATTGTCACAAGGCAAAGTGAAATCACTACCAGAAGTCACATCACTGAATGAACAATCATACATTTTCGGAAAGCGTCCTGTCTAAGCAATAAAATATAATCGACTAGACTTGACCCAGATAAACGGAACAAGCTTCAAAGAAAAATCACTACATCATCTCCTTTTGAGTCATCGGCACTGAGGGATTTCGCCAAAAATTAAACCAGTGTGCATGTAATTTCTACCTCTAACTATATTTTCTGCGTAAAGCTTAAGACACTAATTCGGATTATAAAATTCACCGATAATAATAGCGTTCAGCACAGCTGATAGAAAGAATCCAGTCCAGAGGTGTAAGCTTAACCAAGAATTGCTTTGACTGAATACAAAGGCATTTTCGTGAAATATTCAAACGTTTGCTTGACTAAAATCAAAGTGGTGAAGAAACTTCCCTGTCATATTCGCGGTCCCCTTTGAAATCAGTTCATAGACTAGAAATATTCCAAAAACTTTTCCGAAGGTCGCTACATTAGTGGCTCAAAGATTGAATCGTCCTAAAGTTCTAGAGAACAAAATAGGTATTTCCTAAGCGTTCTATCACATTCAAATGCCAAAAATCGTGAGCTTAAATGACAGCTTGAGGAAAACACGTCTTAAGAAGTCCTCGTAGAAAGAAAAAAGGAATAAGGCTAGGGCGTAAGCATTTCGTGGGGTTGATGATAAAATTCGTAAAGTCGATAAAGTTTGTGAGAAACATTCTCTTTAGATCTCTTTGAGTAAGAGAGAAGTGACAGTCTTCTCAGTCTCCGTCAAGCGGCTTAGTTAGAATAGATCGGAAGTGGATGCGCTTCAGTGTTAAATACCCACTCGTCTAATGGAAATAGGTTTGTCTGATCATCGGCAAATAAAAGGTAGAGATATTTGAGCGTTTCTGCTAAGAAGAACGATTCCATGAGGTCACTGAAAACACACTATGCTAGCTCATAGACAACTTCTACAAAAAAATGTCTGACCTGTGCATGACTGGTATCCTTTTTACGTTTTTCACCGATGAATAGCCGCCTTTTACTTTTGCATACTTCTCAATCGCATTGAAAGCTTCCCAGCCCCACTCCTGGTACGTCTTGTCTCCTGAAAATCCTCTAGTAAGAAAGGTAAGTAACCTGAAACAATTCTATGTAAATGAACTAACCTGTTAGCCGGTAAAGGTAGAACCAAGCTTCAACCGCTTCTGGTCTCAACAATGAGTGCGCATCAAGAGGCTGGATAAGTACAAAATAGCTTTTATTAGGTAGTTGACTTGTGACTCATTAGGAACTACCTTAATGCTGAGATCTTCTTTAATACCGGGCATCATATTGAAGTAAGCGATTTCTGGCCCAAGTCCAGTCGGAGTTTTGTACATTGCTTTGCATGCTCTTCCGAGATCCTGGAACTTTTTCTTCCTCAAGGAGGTGAAGATTCAAGAGGAAAGCTTTTAAACAAGTAAACCACTTCTAATAGTATTAATAGATTCGGAACTCAAAAGTTTTTCTTCGAATCGAAAACTTACCTTTGCCAACTTCATGTGTTCAGCGGGCAAACCATTCTGACTGCCTAGAGCTAATGTTCCACTGAGAAAGCACACCAAGTGGTCCTAAACACAACGGTATGGAACTGTGAGAAGCGCTGCGTTCAACGGACAGAAAATTAACTACCATTTTTGGAGAAAAAACGTTTCCTTGCAATTCGCCAACGAAGCCTAATTTATTTGGTTCCGAATACCTGTACAATTTCGATTCCATAGATTCCATTGCCGTTTTGTAGTCATCTAACAACCTGAAATTTGCTAAATGACTCGATAGATTTGAAGGCATGAAGGCATTAAGAACAAGGGAACACTGATCAAGAATTTATTTCGAATAGAGCATTGAAAAAGCTTGCAGAAAAAGATCACAAGAAACTAACCAATCAATGGTCTTCCCGGTTTGTAACCACTGCTTAAAAAGGTATTCGTAGTAGCTGTCAGCCCGGGCCCCGAACGTGATTGTGGTTCCGGCTTAAATATACAACTCACTTTCAAGTTGACTGCATGATTGAAATATTTTTACTTGATAAAGCATGTATAAGGTACCTACTTCGGAACCGCCCAGTGTTTGTGTTCAAATACATATCGCATAGGCCATCATGGTCCTTACAGCCGATATCGTGAATATGCTTCGAGGTTTTGAACGAGATTTCCTGTCAAAAGCGCGTGATATAACAAACATGGAAATGGTTCAAACAAACGAATTGCATGACATGTTGGTTTGTTGACCGTGGATGGGGTTGGGAAATACAGAAACAAAAGGTTCATTGCTGGTGCTCGCAATGAACGAAAGCGAGCCGTGTAAGTGAGTTTAAGATAAATATGGTCGTACCTCGTAAACTTTCCTTCCGGTTACTCGGGAAAGATCTCGAAACTCGAGCTGTAGCGATGTTACCTCAGATAATGATGACTCACTACTCCATGCTGGTGACTTCGCTTTGCTAAAAAAATACGTACATAGACAGGATGTCTGATGAGATGTCGTATACTTTATTCTCAACATGAGGCCAGGTGGAGTAGAGTCAAGTGGATTCGCCATATGGCCCGGCAATCATATACGAGTTCAATATAAACGCAACTCGCAATGCCTTCGATAATTGCAAAGGCGCTGACTGGTATCAGACACCCTTGGAAAACAAAACTACTTTGGCTGTTCGTTGTAATCACTTGCGTAAGCCACACCTGTAAACAGACGCCACTAGGACACTAAATGAAGACCGGATGCACAATGAAATACGCTCACGAATGCATCAAATCATCCATTTTTATCGTGTTTGCAGTTGGCTACAGATCACATTTCATTTGGAAATTCAGAAGGGCTCGAAATTCGTGTGTGGCTGACCTTACCCACAGCTTCATTTCTTACTTGGGAAAAGATCCTAGTTCCTTATTTTGACTACCCTGGTTTGGAGAACGTGCAAGGCAAATAATGAGAAGCATCTCGGGAAAACGATGCATACCTTGTCTTCAGGTTCACATCACTTAATGGAATAGCTGATTTTGACTTGGTAAAAGCACTCATCAAACGTCCGGCAAGATCCTCTGCTTTTGTGACGAACATCTAAACAAGCCATTCCAGCTTTCTTCTTTCAACAATTCAACCCAAAAAAGTGCCAAGCAACGAACCCTGTCACCGGTAAGATGGTATGCGCTCAGGAGACCGCCTAGGGTGCGAATCGTTGTTTCGAAAAGATTAACATAGCGATCTTTTTCAAATGTTAGAGAATCTCGTATCCATTCGGTTCCTTGCGCCACTTCTAAATTATACACTTTCATAAGGTAAATACAGATAATTCAATTCATTCAATGATCCACATTCATCAACGCAAAGTTGTTAAATTATAGGCAAAACTTCATCCCGCACCGGTTTTGCAACAAAAGGCTTTGTGTCAAATTGAAATTTAGCTCAACGAAAGGAATAAGAAGTACAGTAGCAAAACACAAACCTTCTTCGAGGCCCATTATAATAGCTGTATCAAGTGCGTCCACAATAGTCAGACCTGTATCGAACCAATCAGAGTAGCCACCACTGATCGGTTTCAACTGATCGTGACCCCAAGCATATTTTCGATATCCTTCCCAAGCGTGTTTGAAGGCGTCCACAACAGCCTTTTGCCGATCATTAGTGGGTCCTAAAAGTAAGTGAAAATGAAGTGAATTCCGAAACACTTGAGTGATGACGCAAAATGTCCTCACGGAAAATTATCGAATCCTGATCCGAAGGCCATTANACTTTGACCGGGACTTTTATAAAGTAAATGGCCAGAATTTCGTAAGAGCCGCGAATTCTTGCTAATGAACGCTACTTCGAGGAGTTCGAGGTTGTTACTGTAACCATACCGTACCAAGGATAACTAAACTCATGGAACAGCTAGATATCATACATCCGGGCATCATGAAATAACTAGATTACCGCAACGAATCCAATATTCTCCAGAGTATCAAAAAGTAATGGATTCTATAGACTAGTGGCGCATGGTGGATGATGGGAGAGCCGATTTGGTTTATTCCGCCTCATTAACATGCATCCAGCGTGCAGCCATGGAGAATCAAGTAAAAACGCTTTGTCTTAGGTGATGATATGGAAACTCTTCATAATAAAAGAAAGACAAGTGCAGCAAAAGTAAGTTGTTGAAAGCGACCATAAATAGTTTTATGGAACGCACCTGTAAATCTAGGAATCTGAGATTGGTTCTGTGCTGTCATTTGAGTGAGAGAAATTTTATCTTGAACCTAAAGGAATAAAAGTAATCGTTTTTGAAGTGTATTGAAGAAAAAAATTCATGCACACAAAGAAATAACCTAACCTTTACAATGAAAAAAANAAAAAAACGCCATGTTTTCTCTTTTTTTGAGCGTAATGGCATTATCCAGTTTATTGACTTTTTCCTATTTCCAAAAGGGGAAGAACTTACATAGCCAATTATTCTCGGCGAATCCATTGAAGTTTCGTCGGTCATCTGGATGAACGGCGAAGCGAATATGAATGTAAAGACACATGTCATTGACAGCACTACTATTCCTATCACGGTTTTTTTCAGACGAGGAAATGAACGCCATTGCTGAAAATAGACGTCAGAAGCTTTTTTAGCAACAAATTAATTACAAAATCAACTCCTGCACGCTGCACAAGACGTTTAAATCATACTTACTCTAACTCAGTAAAAAACAACTTTGATCCTACTTGTTCTTTGTTGTTACGATCTCTTCGATCGCAACAACAAAGGAGTTCTCAACATCAGGGAGGAGTTAGCATTATGGAGGACGGTACTCCTAATCACTCATATGAAGTTCATTGGACAAAATACGGCAACAAAAATTTTCATGTTAAAAAGCGCCTCAAAGTCCAGCAAAGAAGCTGTTGTTCATTTAAATTACAAGGAGGTAAGAGGAATATACCTCTTAGTTTGATTTCCCCTCATGAAAATGTTATTGTGAATGCTCATAAAACCACAAATAAATGAATAAAGTTTAAAAATGTAAACTGTGGAAAATGATAGACGTACTCGTACAAGTCCTAGTCGAGGTTTCGATTCCCTTGTAAAAAACGGTAGGCCCTCGGCCGGTTGCCGAAGTTTGGCCCACCTCATTCGGTGCCAAATCGGCTGTTAAGGCCTCTGGAAAGAAAAAGTTATAAAGTTCAAAAACCAACGGATGAGAAGAGACGCCTCATGAACTCGCTCGCCTCTCGTCGCTTGCTTTTTCGAATAACAGCTGGGAGCTTTTTAAGCGTAAAATGTGGCAGATAGACCATAAGCAATCCTCAGTTTCGCGAGAAGAAAGGAGCCAGGAGAGTTTCAATTGTAAAGAGAGAGAATCGATTCGACCACTGAGCAGAGCTAGTGACCGGCTAAGAAATCTGAGGTATTTCAAACGAAAGTAAACAGGTATAATATAAAACAAGAGTAGAGAGAAAACAGAACTTGCAAGAGCGACCGAACAAAATTCAGGGAGTATCAAGAGGAGGTGAAAATGCAGTTGGGGGGAGGGGCACCCATCCGAAGGTCAGTATGTCAAGAAATGACGTCAATGAAACGCGTTACGTCGTGTTACATCATGGACGTGTCAGTTTTTGAATAAGGGCTTCCGTAGGGAAGGAGCACAGCGGTGGGCAAGTTTTCTTTATTTTTTTGCAGGAGTAATCATCCCGCCCACCCAGGTGCTCCTACTTAGCTGAAACCGCATAAAAGAGCTAAGGTGGTCGGTTCCCATGATCCTCTACCCATCCGATACAGTGCTAATATAACAAGGACTAGCACGTTAGACTGAGTTCATTTCTTGATATACTGACCCTCGGATGGGTGGTGGAAGGTTTATCATAATAGCTGAGGTAAGTAGCAAAAATACAAGAATAAAAGAGCTTAAGAGAAAAAGAAACAGCTCAGCGGAGTGCGCTTAAGTAGTCCGGAAATTTTTCGTGAGTGACTATTAAGTTACGTCCATACCTCGCGAATGGAAAACCACGCTGAAAAAAGGTCTATGTCAGTCGAGTTGTGGAATGCAAACGGGGCTTCACAACTAATGAACTAAAAAAGAAGCACTGCCCATTGTCCGCCCATCGGGGACAATCATGGAAGTGACCAGAACGAATGGACACGAAGCGATTGTGAGAACAAGAAAAGGGTAAAGAAAAGGGTTTTGGAGTTCGTAAAAAGTATTAGACTCACTCTACCAATGTGTGGGGGCAAGAAAGCTGTAAAATAACGAAATCCACCAGTTTCCAGGGGAGTTCCATAGGGCGGAGTCTGTGGGAATGAAACCTTGTGGCCGATTATCCAGTGTTTCGCGTGTCGCGAATGTCTGACTAAGAAATGATGGCATGGAAGCCTTAATGTTTCCTGGGAAGCATAAAAACATAATCATCGATCGTTGCAGCGATGGAAAGCCGTTGCCGATGAAGAGGGGCTTCCAATATGTCGCGCCCCACGGAGTGGTCGCGCTCTGCTGAGCAACCTCTTCGGCGCTGTAATTTCGACTATTTATGATACACTCCGCTGATGTCTGTGGCACGTCTTCCCCTTATGTTTTTGTTATGATTTTTGTAACAAATACACTGGCCTCTTAGTCACTGATCAGCTAATCTTCAATCAAAGATGATTGAGAGAGCACAGGGAGCGGTAACATGAGGATCGGTGGCAGTTCGACCTGGGAAAAGCGATGTCTATTGTCTCTATGTGTTGCCATACAAGATATTAATGCATCTCATTTAATTCGCTTATATTTCATTAATATAACTTATGAGACGCCCAGAAATATTCCGGGAACCATCCAGTAAACGCCTTTTTTCTCTTCCGTCATGGTTTCTAAACTCTAACATTTATTATGTTGACTTGACTTGCCTGTTGACTATAATCATGATTTTCCCATTTCTCCACCTACGCCCTATCGCTGCCCTTTCTATTCATGTCCCGTTCACACCTTTTGTTCCGTGTCACTGCGTAGCCCAACTGGTTCCGTAGCACAGCTCTATGGGACCGCTTTCAATGGGAGTTTTATTGGATTTCTGCAACTTCGGTTTACAATTGCAGTTGTGGAAGCTATTCAACATACCTGTAAGAAGCCATAAATCACTGGGTTGGAGCACCTACTTGTCATCTAAACAACAAGAGAACAGAAGCCATAAATCACTGGGTTGGAGCACCTACTTGTCATCTAAACAACAAGAGAACCGTTGGGTAACTGATGTCGAAAGGTTCTTCTCTCCGCTCCCTTGTCGTGTACCCATAATTTATGAAAGAACTACTTACTCTACTGTTTACTTTTCGAAATGATTTTGAATAGGTATCAATTTAAAAACTCTTTACATACCTCTCTGATCAGTTGTCTCCTTATAACTGATTTGTTGGTGTCTGATAGATGTTTTTGTCCGCTGCGCCTTGTACTTTGGACATTCACAACTGCTCTTCACAATTCACCCACCTCTATTTCAGCCTTCATTTTCATTGCTAGTAGGAATAAAAGCTTAAAGAGATGCCATTCGAAAAAGAAATCCATTCCGAAATAATGGACCCAAAAGACGCAAGTACCGCATCCGTTAAGGATGTGTTTTCAATCTATTGTTGGTGTACTGTAGTTTCTTTTTCGAGATTTTGCTCTTTGTTCGCTTTAATTAACTTGAATTCGGCCAAGACAGTTCATCGGAATAATATGAAGAAGTGATATAATCCGCTCAAAAAACTAAAGAAACCGATCCGAAATGTCAAGGGTCGAATGGCAGTGGCGAAGGTCGTTACAAGTAAGGCAGCGTTGATTGGCAACCCTTACTGCCTCGATAAAATCAGCGCAAGACGAATTGTTTACGTCCGGTCCTTC